CATGCACTGCAGAGAAATCGAAAAGGGGACATCATAATGGCCTGGGATAACCGCAGGGCAGACCATGTTGCCAAACTGGCAGCGACTGATGCGATTGCCAGCCCTATGGTTCTAACTGCTTCCCTGGTTCCCAGTCCTTTAGCCGAATGGGACTCCAAGTAGTAGCCTCAAGAAGAAGCCTGACTTAAGACTGAAGAGGGGTGTCTCCTCCCTGCTGGATGGTGGAAGTTCAAGGATGGGCAAATTGCAGTCCCTGGGATCCTAGCCCCAGCTTTTGCCAAGCAGTTTCACCAGAGGACTCATCTTGGTTGCAGTGCCCTAGAAACCCCTCTCGGCCGGGACTTCTACAACCCCTGGCTCTCTAGCATCTCCTGAGTGGTGTGTAAATGGTGTGAAGTCTGTGCCCACAACAACACCAGGCAAGGGCCATGTGCCCCACTGAGGGTCCAAAGTGTCAGTGGCACCCCTTTTGAGGAACTCGAAGTAGACTTCACTGAAATGCCTTGATCACGGGGCTTCAAGTTTCTCTTGGTCTTTGTATGCACCTATTCTGGTTGGGTAGAGACTTACCCCACCCGGAATGAGAAGACCTGAGAAGTAACCAGACTGCTCCTTCGAGAAATTGTTCCATTATTTTCCCTACCAATTACCATTGGCTCAGATAATGGGCCAGCCTTTGTAGCAGAAATACTGCAGCTACTAGCCAAGTATTTAGATATTAAATGGAAATTGCACACCGCCTATCAACCACAGAGTTCAGGCCAGGTGGAAGGCATGATTAGCACCCTTAAGACTCAGTTGGGAAAACTATGTCAGGAGACACATCTACATTGGGACGAAGTCCTCCCCATGGCACTATTAAGAATCAGGTTGGCCTCAATCAAGAAGACTGGATTCTCCCCCTACGAGATCCTGTATGGGCGGCTACCACCACTCATCAAAGGACTACAAGGAGACCTCAAGGAAATAGGTGAATTGACTCTGAGACAACAGCTTCAGGGTCTAGGGACCACCTTCCAGACTTTCAACTAATGGGTAAGGGAAAGGCTCCCTGTCAGTTTAACCACTGAAGTTCATTTCTTTAAGCCAAGAGATTCTGTCTGGATAAAAGAGTGGAACATTCAGCCCTTAAAACCCCTGTAGAAAGGCCCAATTACTGTCATTTTATCTATCTCCACTGCAGTTAAGGTTGCTGAAGTAACACCCTGGATACTTCACAGCAGATATAAACCTGCAGCTGCAGAGTGGTAATATGTTCTAGACTCTTCTGAGTCCCTCAGTGCAACCCTCTGGAAGAAAATACCACTGTGCCAATAGACCAAGAGTAAGATGTTGGCCCCACTTTGGTCACCACAGAAGCTGACCAATCTACGCGTGTCAGAAGCCTAAGGACACCGAGACCCCACGAAAATGGCCAGCATACCCCTCAGGACTCTATTAATGCTTCTCATAAGCTCACCCTTGAGGGTGGCCACTCAGACTCAATGTGATAAATGTCTAGGCGCTGACGGAGTAGGTGGTCAGGTCCAGCAGGCCTTTACCTCATATACCCATCAACCAGCTGCTTGTTACAACTCAGCTACCATTTGCACTTATGCTGGCAAAGGTACTGGATGGGATGGATAAAAAACAAATATGTAGTGGGACACACTTGCCAGGGGCCAAGCTCAAGGGAGATGGGCCTGTTGGACATACCTTGGGCATGTAAGCACCTCGGATGGAGGCGGAATCCAAGACTGTGCCTGAGCCCAGCTAGTCAAAGAGACTGTACAGTGAGTAATAGAACAGACAAAATCTAAACCACCTCCAGGGCCCAGTCCAATTTATGACCCACTTAAAAGGTTCTTACGCCAAAACCTAGACCTCCCAACCCTGGGGAAAAAAACCTCTTTTCGACCTCTTTTAGCCCATGAACTTGGTGTCACTAACTGGGTTTGTGGAGGAGTACTTATGAGTGAAGATTGGCCTTGGAAGGGAACTAACCTAGATGCCTTTTTCCTTCTCCAGTGGAACCACATGGTGGCTCAACACAAAGAGGGTAGTCCCCAGAGCTGGGTCCTCTCCTCAGAGAGTAGGGGAAGAATGTCTTGACCAGATAGATCCAAGATACATTCAGTGGGTTGGAGAAACTCCATGTAGAAGAATGCTATTTTTAAATTACACAGACCTAGACTGGTGGTATTGGACCAACAGTACTACAACTAATTCCTCTTTATGCCGCTCTCTTGACTAAGGTTTGACTGTCATACACTGTACTGTAGGGAATGGCACAGTCCCTAACCCCTCCCTTCCATGCCATCTCAGCTATTGGCACATTCTGGGAAACCCTCAATTCCTCTAGCTCCGGGAGTTGGAAAGCCCCTGATGGGCTCTTTTGGATTTATGGAAAGAGGGCATACACTCAACTCCCAACAAACTGGAAGAGAAGTAGCACCATTGGGATCATTTAGTCTGGTGTCTTCCTCCTACTGGACCACGGAGGAAATGAGCTAGGTGTTCCTCTATATCAAGACTTAAAGGCTAGGACTAAGATGTCACTTGAAGTAGGGGGACAACAAATGTGGGGGGAAGATGAATGGCTGCCCACAGTATTATCTAACACTATGGCCCCACAACTTGGGCCCAATATGGAAGCTGGGATTACTGGACCCCATATACATGCTTAATAGGATCATCAGGTTACAGGCTGTACTAGAGATCATTACTAACCAGACAGCCTCAGCCCTAGAACTCCTGGCCACACAGCAGTCCCAAATGCATGCAGCAATATATCAAAACCATTTAGCTTTCGATTATTTGCTAGCAGAAGAAGGGGGAGTATGCAGGAAGTTTAACTGATCCAATTGTTGTCTCCAAATAGATGACAATGACAAAGATGTGACTGACATAACTACTATTAGAAAAATAGCTCATGTGCCCATTCAAAGTTGGAAAGGATAAGACTCTAGTAGCCTCTCTGGAGGCTGGCTCTCCACTTTTGGTGGCTTCAAGACCTTAGTTGGGATAGTACCTGTCTCTTCCTCTTGTGCCTATTGCCTCTTGTTATCTGGTCAACTACCTCCATCATGGAGGCTATAGTAGAAAGAAAAACTGCAGCCAAGGTCTTCATGCTATGGAAGTACCAGCTCCTAAACCAAGAATTAGAAGAAAAAGATGATGCTCTCTTATTCAGTCCTGGGTCTGAGCATCAAAGAGGGGAATGTGGCCTGACCCTCCCTGACCATTTCCTGCTCGAACGAGTTAGTTCTTGACTGCGCCCTCCATCCCAGGACTCTCTGGCTGATGTGGCAGTCCGAAAACATACTTAAACAATTAAGTCGGTTTCCTTATAATTTGGCAGTCAATCAATGTTCTCCTTATGTTCTCCTTCCTTACATGAAATATCTATAGCTGTGTAAGAATGCGGAAGTACAAGATTGTATAAAACTGCCCGCCATGTTACAATCTGGGCTAAGCCTTTGGTTAAGAATCCGCTGAGTCGGTGCCAGCATCAATAAACGCTGCTTCCTTTTTATAGCCTCGGTGTCCTGTCTTCTGTTCGAGAATCCCACGACGTTTCAATGATCATAATCCAGAAAATGCCAATGACTAATGTTGACACTGATGTAGAGAAATCAGAACCCTTAAACACTGCTTGTGAAAAGTAAAATAGTGTGACCTCTGTGTACAGTAGTTTGGAATTTCCACTCTGCAAAACATTACTATCTGGTTGAATGAATCCATTCCTAGATGTAGATCCCCTGAAATAGAAAACAGGTATTTAAATATTTAAGTGAATCTTCACAGCAGCACTGTTCACAATAGCAAAAATGTATAAACAATTCAAAGGTCCATCTTAATTGGTAGTGAAAACAAAGTGAAGTGATTGTGAACTGTTACATCAGGGTTTTTAGATTGACACACTTATTGAAAAGGAAATTTCAGGAATTTCCATTAAAAGCTAATCAGCCTTTTTGCTTTTGTAAATATGCTTGCTTTCTCCTCGACTTATAAATATAAATATTTGTACTCCAGCAGCTTCTGCTCCCTATAGCAATTTGTGTTTACTAGTTACCTATAGCAACTCCCGCCCTTCTCTATGTTACTACTTGAAATCTGCATAGCAACTCCTGATGTATGTAACAGTTTATGTTCAAACCGACCAATCAGATTATGTAAAATTTTCCTATAAAAGGAATTTTTCCTAATAGCTAGTGATGTTCTCTTTCTCTCTGAGCTGATGCTTGGTTTTTTGCTGGTCTGATTTTTGGAGCTGTTTGGGATTTTTCCACAACATTATGAACATAATTAATAATTTTAAAATATGTTTCCTCATAGCACATGAAGTTTTTTTAATGTGGCAGAAGACACATTTACTGATAGACTCAAATATATTTAGTCCCTTTAAAATAAGATGATAAATCTATGTTCCATAATTAATGTTTCATTACTTTATCTTATTTGGAAATGGTCTAGATATTCAATGACAATCTGTCACTTAATTAACCAAGCAAAAATTTAAACTTTCAAGTTATTAAAGACACAGAAAAAGTTTTTCATGTATATATACAATATAATTATTGCTAAAAATTTTTACCTATGAACCATTTATTCGTATGTATTTATTTGTTAAAACTATGGGATTTCAAAGTCCATTAATATCTGACCTATTTTCTTGATGCATTTTTAACAGAAAGTATGACCTTATATCTGTAAACCCAGTAAAACAGTAAAAATAGATTTCATGATAACATAAAAACATGTGTATTTAATAATGAATATTTTACCAGATCATAGGCTCCTGAAAAGCGGTTGGGTTAATTTCTGTTTTAGTTCTTGACTTCTGTAAACGATTAATTACATTAAGCCAATTAAATATTACAAACTAGCAACACCATCCAAAGCTAGAAAGCACCTTACCTATTTAGAAGTTGTCTAAGTCAAAGGATCCACTGTCTGGCCGTCAACAGTAGGATTTTGGATTTTAATAGTGACTCATACCAATGAATGTCTTCCACAGCTCAGGTGAAGTAAGGAACCACCTCCGCAAAGAGAGTGCAAAAGGTGTAGCCTTCACAGGTCCAAAGGATCGCTTCCAGAGACAAAGAGAGCAGATCTTTGTAATACGGGGTCAGGAGAGTGGGGTAGACATGGTGTCTCAGGTCTCCCACAAAACGTGAGTTGCCTCCAGCCACAAACCCACTAATTCCTGGCCCTAGGTAAGTGCTACTATAATGGTACTTTACAGCACTGAAAGGTAATGAAAGTGGAGATGACAAAGTCTCCTTATGGGCTGAGGCCCTCCATGGCACACTCCCCTGAGAGCTGGCCAGGCGAGCTACCAGGTGCACCTGGGTCATTGCACCTTGCAGATGGTTGACACCAGAGAAGATAATATCACCTGTCACAAAAACAAACTCCTATAACATGGAAAAGACAGAAAAGAAAAAAAAAACTTCATTTGATTTTTAGAGAGAGGAACCTACAGCAAAGTTTGTCTCCACAGACACCAGTCTGGAGAGAATCGTTTTAACTCTGACCCCCGAGACTATCTGGAACAGCAGGTTTATAGGAGCCTATGCCTGTGTTCTGTCCCTATAGTACTTCCTTCTTATGACAAAGAACACAAAAATGTGGGGGGCGGGGGGGCGGCGCGGGGAAAAAGATCATTTCTGGAAGGAAAGACTCAATAAAGAAAACCCTAGAGTTCAGTGCAAGAAGCAAATATTTTTTAACTGCCTATCTAATGTACAATAGAGACAATGGACTCACATGACTTCTACTTTCAAGCAAACACTGCAGACTGGGAATTTTAAATTTTGTTAGGCAACCCGGAAAACAACGCTACACAGAGTGGGAGGAGGACTGAGGTTGGTCCTCAGGTTCCTGCTTGGTGTCTTCATGTCTACTGCTAATATGATTATACTAAGGCTTTTTTATCTGTCATTCACAATTTTTAAAGAGACAGGCTAGACAACTTTAGTCTGTGTTTTTAAAAGTGACCCTTTCATTTCTTTTTTTTTTTTTTTGGTTTAGCTCCACCTGCTTAGGCAGTTGTGGCCTGTGTTTACATTTCTAATATCCTCAGCGAGGGGATCTGGGGTAGATGCTGAGACTTTCTTTGTAATTCTGATTGAACTTGGAAAAATCAGCTTCAATTTTTGTCAAATTTCCGATCAGTTATTAAATCCTTTAAAATCTATTTTAACATGCTGATATAGGGAAGAGGCACAAGAAATACACAAATCGACTAAATATTAAAACAGGTCATTTTCAGAACCTGCAAGGTACTGCTAGCTTTGAGAACCTGACTGATCAGCCCTATGGCCAGACCACAAGGAAGCTACAGAATGCAGAAAGATTCCTGCAGAGGTGCTAACAACTGTTTATCCATACGATTAACATTTACCCACACCATGAGAGGAAAACAAAGACTTTAAGCTATATCCTACACATAATAAACCAAACTATTTATTTCATTCTTTACTACCTTCAACCAGACCAAAAGATCAATATCAATTCTCATAATCTATATATCAATAAATTTTAAAAGTTCCACCTTGTTGTGAAAACTCTTGATATTCCCTTCTGCCTTTTTAACCTAATGTCGATATTACCATGTGTAATACCCAAGAAGCTAACGAACTAATTCAAAAGCTTAAGAATAGTTCTATTTGCTTTTATCCCTTTTTTAAAGTTTATTGGGGTAACATTGATTAATACAATTACATAATATTCAAGTGTACTTTATAATTTGACATCTACATATTCTATTGTGTGATTACCACCCAGAGTCCAGTTTCCTTCAGCTACCATATATTTGATCCCCTTTACTTTGTCTACCTCTTCCCTCCTCCCCTACCCACTACTGTCTGGTAACCACTAGTCCATTGTCCATGTCGCTGAGTCTTTGTTTCTCCTATTCCTTTGTTGCTTTAAGGTTTATATCCCACATATAAGTGATACCATGTGATTTTCAACTTTTTCTGTCTGGCTCATTTCGCTTAGCATGATTATCTCAAGGTCCATCCAGGTTGTTGCAAATGGCAGTATTTCATCTCTTCTTATGGCTGAGTAATATTCCATTGTATATAGGTAACACAGCTTCTTTAGCCAATCATCTATTGTAGGACACTTCGGTTGCTTCCATATCCTGGTGACTGTGAATAATGCTGCTATGAACATTGGTGTGCAAATATCTTTTCGGAATGGGTTTTCAAGTGTTTGAGGTAAATACCCAGTAGAGGGATTACTGGATAATATGGTAGATCAATTCTTAGTTTTTTGAGGATTCTCCATACTGTTTTCCATAGTGGCTGTACCAATTTGCGGTCCCACCAGCAGTGTATGAGGGTTCCTTTTTCTCTGCATCCTCTCCAACATTTGTTATTATTTGTTCTGCTGATTATAGCTATTCTAACAGGTATGAGATGGTACCTCATTGTGGTTTTGATTTGCATTTTCCTAATAGCTAGTGATGTTGAGCATCTTCTCAAATATTTCTTGGCCATTTGTATGTCCTCTAGGGAGAAGTGTCTGTTCAGTTACTCTGCCCATTTTTTGATTGGATGGTTTGTTTTTGTTGTCGTTGTTATTGAGTCATATGAGTTCTTTGTATATTTTGGATATTAGGCCCTTATCGGAGGCATTGCTTGCAAATATATTTTCCCATGTAGATGGTTGTCTCTTTACCTTGTTGATGATTTCTTCTGTTGAGCAGAAACTTTTTAGTTTGATGTAGTCCCATTCATTTACTTTTGATTTTACTTCTCTTGCCTTTGAGGTTAAATTCATAAAATCCTCTTTAAGTCCAAGGTCCTTGAGTTTAGTTCCTATGTTTTCTACATGCATTTTATTGATTCTGGTCTTATATTCACGTCCTTAAACCATTTTGAGTTAATTTTGCTGTGTGGCTATAGACAACAGTTTAGTTTCATTCTTTTGCAGGTGGCCTTCCAATTTTCCCAGTACCACTTATTGAAGAGGCTTTCCTTTCTCCACTGTATGTTTTGGCTTTTTGTCAATAATTATTTGCCCATATAAATATGGTTTTACTTCTGGACTATCGATTCTGTTCCACTGGTCCATGTAAATATGGATTTACTTATGGAC